CATCTAATTTATAAGCATCTCGACAGTTGAAGCATTCTCACAAATAGGGCAAACTAAAATAAGTCTGGACATGTTTAAACATCTTGGCAATGCAAACGTCCCTTTCCCATTCTATTTGATAATTTCAAAATCTCTTCCCCTGTGAAGCCTTCCTGACTTGCTTAATCACAAGTAATCAGTCCATTCTTCATGTTCCTGTAACATTGTGTTCTAACGTCTATCATTGCATCTGTTCCTTTATAAATAATATTTGCTAAATTGTGAGTTCTTTGAGGACAGAGAATAAGCCTTATCAACTTTTTAATTTCAATTTTTAACATTAGGGAAAAAATTTTTAGCTTTATGGAGGTATAACTGTTCTGCAACAAAACTGGACACATTTCACATTTACACCTCTTTTTTCTTGTTTTCTATATTCCCCACCCTGTACATTTCATACCCATGTCTCATTTATTTTGTAGCTGGAAGTTTGTACCTCTTAATCTCCCTCACCTCTTTCTCTCAAGCCTTATTAACCTTTTTAATGCCTTTTGCCTTGTACACTGTGGGCATTCAGTACATGTCTGTTGAATGACTGAATGCCTTAATAGACAATTCTCTCTAGAAACTTCCTGAAAGTCTTGGGAATAACTTCGCCAATAAAGACTGAGCAACCCTACCACCAGTTCCCTGAACTCCACACCCTTGCTTACACTGTCCCTTCTGCCTGGAATGCCTTTCTTCTACACGTCCATCCCCAGCCACCTTCTCTTGAATAACTTTTCATTTCTCCCAATTCAACGCACGAGTTGAGAGCCTCAGGTCGCCCACCTGGGACTGGGTTAGGTGTCACTGGTACCCACTTCTGTGAAAGCAGGTGTGGATCGCCCACCCAGCTCTTACCGAACTTGAATAGTTTTCTGCTCTATACGTGATTCCCGCGTGTGCTGGGCCAGAACTCAAAAATCCAGTCCAGGTTTGAGGGCTTGCGAATGTGCAAAGGATATTCAGAATAAGGGCACAGTTGAGCGGCAGATGCTGTTCCACTGCCTCACTCATCATCAGCAAGGGGCCTCTTCAAGGGATATAGACAAGGTCCCCCGGGGGGCGAGGAACACTGCGGGTTGCAGAGCTCCTAGCTACATCTGGGGGTGGGGGCCATGGGGAGCCACGCCAGCACTCAATAGGCTGCCTTGTACCCCACAAGGCACATTACTGCCCCTGCCTCCTCAGCCCTTGGCTTCTGTAGGGACCCAAGGGTCATGCCCAGAGCTCAAGTGATCACAAGTGACAATGCTGGTCCAGGTTCCTTAGCCCCGACTCATTTTGAATAGGAGTTCCCCTCCCCTCCGTGCCCAGGGAGGAAGGGCACACCCTCCTCAGCCTTGGACCTCTTCAGGGCTCCTTAATTTGATGCAGTTTAGATGACATCACTGTGACCAGCCTTTGTGCCCGTTGCCCTAGCAAAGACTCAGGTCTCTTTTCAAAACCAGGGTTCTGTTACTGACTCACCAGCTCCGCCATTTGATGGTGACAGCATCTCATCTCTGCAGTAATGGAGACTCCCCACAGGCCCACTAGCATGTCCTGGGTGATAGTGCAGTGAATGGTTCCCACCAGCTCTGCCTTAGCCGCCTGCTACAAGTCTAGATGTGGTGCTAGTCTTTGGAGAAGAAAGGCCACCACTGCTGTGACTCCCCTTCCTCGGAACCTCCCCACGGAATGAATGGGGAGGGACCCCTGGGATTTCCGAGAATGGCCGTGACAGCACAGCAGCTGGGACAAGGCTCAGGAGGGGCTAGAGTCACTGCCACCACCAGCAGTTAAGTTTCAGCCTTTGTCCCCAGCTAGGCAGCCTGAACCACGTTCTCCTCCATCTAAACCTTCTCCGGATTGATCTGTGTTTGGTTCCATTTGGTGTTGGCCAAGAGGGGGACTTGGTTGTGGCACAAGGTCTTCTACCTCAATCCCCTCCCACAATGCCCACGTGCGTTCAGGGCACAGAGTCTGGCTGCTCTGGGCTAGAACGTGGAGGTCAAGAAGCAGGCCTCCTGAAATAGGCACATGAAAATATGCTCAACGTCGCTAATTATTAGAGAAATGCAAATCAAGACTACAATGAAGTATCACCTCACACTGGTCAGAATGGCCATCATTAAAAAGTCTACAGGGCTTCCCTGGTGGTGCAGTGGTTAAGAATCCGCCTGCCAATGCAGGGGACACGGATTCGAGCCCTGGTCCGGGAAGATCCCACATGCCGCGGAGCAACTAAGCCCGTGCGCCACAACTACTGAGCCTGCGCTCTAGAGCCCTTGAGCCACAGCTATTGAGCCCATGTGTCACAACTACTGAAGCCCGCTTGCCCAGAGCCTGTGCTCTGCAACAAGAGAAGCCACCACAATGAGAAGCCCGCGCACCACAACGAAGAGTAGCCCCCGCTCGCTGCAACTAGAGAAAGTCTGTGTGCAGCAATGCAGACCCAATGTAGCCAAAAATAAAATAAATAAATAAATAGATTTATTTTTTTAAAAAGTCTACAAATAACAAATGCTGGAGAGGGTGTGGAGAAAAAGTTACCCTCCTACACTGTTGGTAGGAATGTAAAGTGGTGCAGCCACTATGGAAAACATAATGGAGGTTCCTCAAAAAACTAAAACTAGAGTTACCATATGATCCAGCAATCCCACTCCTGGATACATATCTGGACAAAACTATAAGTCGAAAAGATACATGCACCCCTATGTTCATAGCAGCAGTATTTACAATAGCCAAGACATGGAAACAATCTAAATGTCCATGGACAGATGAATGCATAAAGAAGATGTGGTACATATGTACAATGGAATACTACTCAGCCATAAAAAAGAATGAAATTTTGCCATTTGCAGCTACATAGATGGACCTAGAGATTATCATACTAAGTGAAGTAAGTCAGAAGGAAGAAGGCGAATACCACATGATATCACTTATATATGGAGTCTAAAATATGACACGAATGAACTTATCTACGAAACAGAAACAGACTCACAGACAGAGAACAGACTTGTGGTTGCCAAGGAGGGGTGCAGGGGAGGGTTAGATTGAGAGTTTGGAACTAGCAGATGCAAACTATTATATATAGAATGGATAAATAACAAGGTTTTATTGTATAGCACAGGACACTATATTCAATATCCTGTAATAAACCGCAATGAAAAAGAATTGAAAAAAAAAAAAAAGAAGCAGGCCTCCTGGTGGCTAGGCAAGCCGACCTTTATCCCACTCTTCTTACTCCTGCTAAAGTGCAAGTTATGCTTACCCACCCTACTGACTCCGAATGACCTGCACCAGGCAATAAATAGCTGGTCCGAGATCAAAGACGGGAAAGAATGACAAATAGGATTTCAGTTGCTTTCACTTTTGTGAAATTCAAATCTGTAATGAGGCTGTGTAACAGATCTAGATCTAGATATGCTGGCTTTTCGAAAATTCACTTTACATCACTTAAACACTTCGCTTTTACAAAAGGCCTACATTAGTACCTGCTTTCCGTAACCAAAATAAGTCTGAAGAGGATATTCTCTTTTACGAAAAAAGGCAAAAAGCGGAAATAGCGTTCAGCATGTGTTTTGCAGCAGCCTTTATAGAGGCAGCATGTACCCCGTGCACCTGGAGTGGTCCCACGAGGCTCCTTCCCTGGGAACCACACTCAGCATCTCAGCATCAAGCCACCATAAGCTTTGAACTGTGTCTGTGGGCATCTGTGCTTCATCTTGATGTATTTTGAGCATCTGTTAATAAGATGTGTCCTAAGGTAATTGCTTCTTCCCTTTACACCGTTTCGACTTAGGAAAGGTTTCGTAGGAACGCTCCACTTTCGGACAGTGGGGGAAACCCGTACAAGCACGCAGGAGAGTGGCCTCACCTCCCACTGCCCCACCCAATCCTCACAGAGGTGCCCCAACAGGAGTCTTGGGTGGGAAAAGGAAACCACCAGTCACAAGCTTGATGGGAAGTTCATGAACTTGCCTTGTAAATATCAGGCTGGCTCTCCAGGCTCTAGCTACTTGCAGATAAGGCAGGTCTGCATTCTGCTCATCAGGCCTAAGAAGGCTTGGGCCCGGCCAGCCACAGCCCCCCATCCTTGAGCTCCTTGCAGGAAAGAGCCACATCCTGTATCGCTATATTCCCAGGGCCCAGCACTCTACCAGGCGCAGAGGAGGCACCAGAAAATGGTCATTGACCACGAGTCGACAGACTGATTTGTTTTCAGCTCCACACTCTAGGGCGGATGAACAGCTCCCAGAGAAGGTGAACAAAACCCAGAGGGGTTGGTTAGACAGTCATGGGGGAAGGTTCTCCTCTGCTGCACCATTGCTAGGTCTCAAGGATGCAGGAATGGGAGCCTGAGCTTTCCCACAGCTCCAGCGGGCCTCCAGAGGAGGGTGGAGGGAGCTCGTGTCTGAGCTGGAGTTACTCCGGGGGCATAAGATTTGGGGCAGAGACCAAATGCTATGATGAGGTTAACGCATATGATGATTAACTTAACTGAATCAAATTAAACCAGTAACTATCTATTGAGCAACTAGTATGTAGACACTGTAGAGAGAAAGAAATAAAGGGTGGTGTGGTAGAAAGAGGAACGAATGCAAACTCTGCCACTAGCTGGTTACAGACCTCGGGGAAAAGTCTGTCTTTTGGCCCTTAGCTTCTTCAAAGTCATCTACTATGATTTAAAAACTCAATCTCAGGGCTTCCCTGGTGGCGCAGTGGTTGAGAGTCCGCCTGCCGATGCAGGAGACACGGGTTCGTGCCCCGGTCTGGGAGGATCCCACGTGCCGCGGAGCGGCTGGGCCCGTGAGCCATGGCCGCTGAGCCTACGCGTCTGGAGCCTGTGCTCCGCAATGGGAGAGGCCACAACAGTGAGAGGCCTGCGTACCGCAAAACAAAACAAAACAAAACAAACAAACAAAAAAACTCAATCTCAGCCCTAAATGGATGAACGTTAATTGACAGTAAAAAACAAACAAACAAAAACTCACTTGCTCCTTTGTTCGAGATGATGATCACAAGGACGCCGCCAGTGTCTACAAGCTCGGAGAAGCCCCTCATATCCACGGGAGGGGAACAGCCAATGAAAGGAGGCCTTGCCTGGCAGCTGTTCCAGGCTCTGGCTCCTGAGAATCGTGTCGCCCTCTGCGCTGCATCACAAGAGCTGGGCTGAACAGCGGTCAGGCTGGGAAGTCGGTGCCCAGGGACTTGAGGGGGCAGCTCTATTCTCTGGGATGCAGTAGGCTCTGGGGATAGAAGAAACAAGGAGGTTCCAACCTGTTCCCGACCAACAGGCAAGAGAAAATTGTTTTCTTTCTTCCTCTCTTGCTAACCTGACAGTGGGATCCATCTGTAGCCTGTGAGTCAGAGAATCAGGCTCATTATTTCTGCTCTATAAAAACACCTTCTGAACCTTGGTTAATTTCATTGTGCTTTTGTACAGTCGAACATAAAATGTCTAAAGGGAACTAAACCCATGCTAATTCTACATGCTAAGTGGACATACTTCACGTACAAAAAGGAGCATATTTCTGAGCTCCGTGGTATAATGAGCAGTTCAACATCAAGGTGGAGTGTCAGCGACTAAAAAAAAGAAAAACTAAATAACATGTAAACTCAATTAGCATCATTAGCAAACTTGCCGCATCCTAGGCAGCGCTGATATTAGACCACAAACAAAAATAAATGAATCACAACCTAACAACCAACCAACCAACCCACAAAACAAAAAACCAAGAAAGGTTTTAATTTTAATCGATTTTGTAGATTAAATTGATAGCTTGATAACAGAGTTACAAAATGATGCTATTTGAAAAATAAGATCTCTGCCAATAAAAACATATTTCTAATGCTCTGGTTAGGTTTGCAATGGCTACAAATGCAAATAAGTTTAGAGAAAGTCAAGTCAGAGTTGTCAAATGCAAGTCAATATACTTTTCTTATTCTCCTTACAATGACTACCTGCAGCCTCTCAGTGTTATGAATGCTGAATTCTTGCTCTAGTTGACGATATCCTGGACAGGCCTCCCTCAGAGGGAGCTCCTTCACTCATTCCTTACATTTTAAGGAAGAACTTGGGGACCAGAGTCCAACGCCTGGATCCTGCATTTAGCTCTTCCACTAACTGTGATTCTGTACTAGTTACATCACCTTTCTACGCTCAAATTCCTTCATTTGTAAAATTATCTGTAAAATTACAAAATGATGTTGGAGTATCTCTAGGTAACTTTTACACTCTGAAGTTACTCAATTTTATGTCAAACAGACGTAATGCCAAAATTCTAATAAATTAGACACTAGAGAGACTCCATGAACTCTTTCTGGCCACGTGACAACTACTGAACACACATGAGACTCTAATACCAATACTCAATGATAAAAATTATTTTGTTAAGATGTAGAAACACAACTTAATTATCTACAAGGTGATAATAACAACCCTGGCTATAAAGCCTGTGGTACTTTTCATTAACATTAAAAACTATAATACGGTACTTGTGTAGCAAAAACCTACACTACTGAGTGTGTCTCTCCTTTACTTTCACACAACCATCACACTCAGAACGCTACGGACACTACCGTGTGGGAGTTTCAAGCCATTCTATGCAACACTAGCTGGGGGTCCTACAATTTAATAACTCAAATCTGACACCATTTACTGGGAGATGGCGTCAGATTCCACAGGTTAAGGGCTCCATCCCGCAAGATTGCCCTCATCCCACTTCAGACGCCGATAGCAAAGCCAGTTTGTCACTTGTGCTTCTGAGCAATTGGCTATACATCAGATGTTCCCATGATCCCTTCTCAGGTTTCATTAATTTGCTAGAGCAGCTTACAGACTCAGGAAAACAGTTTATTTACTGTTTACCAGTTTATTTTAAAAGGATATGATAAAGGACACAGATGAACACCCAGGCGGAAGAGATGCGTAGGACAAGTGTGTAGGAAGGGGCGGAGCTTTCATGCCCTGTGCAGGTGTGCCACTCTCCCAGCACCTCCACGTGGCCACCACCTAGAAGCTCTTCAAACCCCAAACTATTGGAATTTTCATGGAGGGCTTTATCACACAGGGATGATCAATCATTAACTCCACTTGTATCCCCTCTTCCCTCGCTGCAGAAAATTCTAAGTTTCTAATCATGGCTCGGTCTTTCTGGTGACCAGCCCCCATTCAGGAACCCACCAAGAGTCATGTTATTAGGACAAAGGACACTGTTTTCATCCAGGAAATTGCAAGGGGTTTAGGAACTCTGTGTCAGGATGGGGGCTCAAAGACCAAATATTAGAACAGAAGATGTTCTCAGTGCTCTTATCACTAGGAAATTGCAAGAGTTTTAGGAGCTCTGTTGCAGGAACTCAGGCAGAGACCCAAATATATATTTTTTGTTATCTCACAGTAGTATTAAAGAAATATCAGCAAGCTTTGTCTCTAACAAAGTAATAATGACCCACACGACAGCTGTCAACTCATTCTAAATTAATTTTTCATGACCTCTAGGTTAATGATTAACTTTCCTGTCCCTGATATGCACAATATTCTGCTCATTACAAGGGAAAAATCCATCAAACTGATTTATGAGTACATTATAAAAATAAATTGATATCTGTGAGCTGGTGACTTACTGATGAATAGGAGGTTCATCGATAGCATGGGTTTTTCTTTATGAATTTTAGAATTGTATTTATTTTTTTATACAGCAGGTTGTTATTCGTTATCCATTTTATACACATCAGTGTATACATGGCAATCCCAATCTCCCAATTCATCACCCCACCACCACCCCACCACCACCACTTTACCCCCTTGGTGTCCATACGTTTGTTCTCTACATCTGTGTCTCTATTTCTGCCCTGCAAACTGGTTCATCGGTACAATTTTTCTAGGTTCCACATATATGCGTTAATATACGATATTTGTTTTTCTCTTTCTGACTTACTTCACTCTGCATGACAGTCTCTAGATCCATCCACGTCTCTACAAATGACCCAATTTTGTTCCTTTTTATGGCTGAGTAATATTCCATTGTATATATGTACCACATCTTCTTTATCTAGTTGTCTGTCAATGGGCATTTAGGTTGCTTCCATGACCTGGCTATTGTAAATAGTGCTAGATGAACATTGGGGTGCATGTGTCTTTTTGAATTATAGTTTTCTCTGGGTATTTGCCCAGTGGTGGGATTGCTGGGTCATATGGTAATTCTATTTTTAGTTTTTTTGGATGCTAAGCTTTTTATTTTTTATTATTTTTTGTTTGTTTTTTTACATCTTTATTGGAGTATAATTGCTTTACAATGGTGTGTTAGTTTCTGCTTTATAACAAAATGAATCAGTTATACATATACTAATGTTCCCATATCTCTTCCCTCTTGCATCTCCCTCCCTCCCACCCTCCCTATCCCACCCCTCCAGGCGGTCACAAAGCACCAAGCTGATCTCCCTGTGCTATGTGGCTGCTTCCCACTACCTATCTACCTTACGTTTGGTAGTGTATATATGTCCATGCCTCTCTCTCTCTTTGTCACAGCTTACCCTTCCCCCTCCCCATAACCTCAAGTCCATTCTCTAGTAGGTCTGTGTCTTTATTCCTGTCTTACCCCTAGGTTCTTCATGACATTTTTTTTTCTTAAATTCCATATATATGTGTTAGCATACAGTATTTGCCTTTCTCTTTCTGACTTACTTCACTCTGTATGACAGACTCTAGGTCTATCCACCTCATTACAAATAGCTCAATTTCGTTTCTTTTTATGGCTGAGTAATATTCCATTGTATATATGTGCCACAACTTTTTTATCCATTCATCCGATGACGGACCCTTAGGTTGTTTCCATATCCTGGTTATTTTAAATAGAGCTGCAATGAACATTGGGGTACATGTGACTTTTTGAATTATGGTTTTCTCAGGGTATATGCCCAGTAGTGGGATTGCTGGGTCATATGGTAGCTCTATTTTTAGTTTTTTAAGGAACCTCCATACTGTTCTCCCCAGTGGCTGTATCAATTTACATTCCCACCAACAGTGCAAGAGGGTTCCCTTTCCTCCACACCCTCTCCAGCATTTGTTGTTTGTAGATTTTCTGATGATGCCCATTCTAACTGGTGTGAGGTGATACCTCATTGTAGTTTTGATTTGCATTTTTCTAATAATATAGTGATGTTGAGCATCTTTTCATGTGCCTCTTGGCCATCTGTAAGTCTTCTTTGGTGAAATGTCTATTTAGGTCTTCTGCCCATTTTTTGATTGGGTTGTTTGTTTTTTTATTATTGAGCTGCATGAGCTGCTTATAAATTTTGGAGATTAATCCTTTGTCAGTTGCTTCATTTGCAAATATTTTCTCCCATTCTGAGGGTTGTCTTTTAGTCTTGTTTATGGTTTCCTTTGCTGTGCAAAAGCTTTGAAGTTTCATTAAGTCCCATTTGTTTATTTTTGTTTTTATTTCTCTAGGAGGTGGGTCAAAAAGGATCTTGCTATGATTTATGTCATAGAGTGTTCTGCCTATGTTTTCCTCTAAGAGTTTGATAGTTTCTGGCCTTACATTTAGGTCTTTAATCCATTTTGAGCTTATTTCTGTGTACGGTGTTAGGGAGTGTTCTAATCTCATACTTTTACGTGTACCTGTCCAGTTTTCCCAGCACCACTTACTGAAGAGGCTGTCCTTTCTCCACTGTACATTCCTGCCTCCTTTATCAAAGATAAGGTGACCGTATGTGCGTGGGTTTATCTCTGGGCTTTCTATCCTGTTCCATTGATCTATATTTCTGTTTTTGGGTCAGTACCATACTGTCTTGAATACTGTAGCTTTGTAGTATAGTCTGAAGTCAGGGAGCTTGATTCCTCCAGCTCCGTTTTTCGCTCTCAGGATTGCTTTGGCTATTCGGGGTCTTTTGTATTTCCATACAAATTGTGAAATTTTTTGTTCTAGTTGTGTGAAAAATGCCAGTGGTAGTTTGATAGGGATTGCATTGAATCTGTAGATTGCTTTGGGTAGTAGAGTCATTTTCACAATGTGGATTCTTCCAATCCAAGAACATGGTATATCTCTCCATCTATTTGTATCATCTTTAATTTCTTTCATCAGTGTCTTATAATTTTACGCATACAGGTCTTTTGTCTCCTGAGGTAGGTTTATTCCTAGATATTTTATTCTTTTTGTTGCAATGGTAAATGGGAGTGTTTTCTTAATTTCACTTTCAGATTTTTCATCATTAGTGTACAGGAATGCCAGAGATTTCTGTGCATTAA